GGATTAAAATGGGTGTCATATGACTAAACACCCAACTCCTGGTACAATGCACCCCACAGTGAAATTGGATAGAATTCATCCTTAACCACCCTGCCAAAAGTACTCTTAACAAAGGGAAACAAGAAAACATCATTCAAATGAGGGACATCTGTTCTCCAATGTTTGCAGATAATGACTGGATCAAGTGTCTGCATGCAGCGTAATTCTTTTCCACAGATGATTTGATCTGGTATTTTACGAATTCTAAAAAAATCCCCATCCCAGCTTCATACTAGGTATATGGGATTTCACTAGAAAGAAAGGAAACTTTTCCTACCCCACGCCAAGTATTTACAAATGAGAAACAGGAAAGACAGACTCAGGGCAATAAAGAAAAATGTTTTATCTGACAACATACACTTTGAGCTTTGGTCTTTTCTGTCTCTATCATGCTACCTAATATGGCAGTAATGTCCAGTAAGGAGGTTTATTATGGGAGTTAGGCAAAGTAAATGATCTAGGTTATGTCAACAGATTCCCAACTGACTTTAATGGAGGGTTCTGCTTAAAAACTGATGGCACAATATAGCCATTGGTGAAAAGTAATTCCATCATCTTTCCTCAGCTAAGGGAGAAATACCACTACCAAGATGACATGTATTCTTACCTTTGCAACTTATTTTTAGCATTATGATAACACTATGCACTTCCATTGCATCTGTCATGTGAGCATTTATTACCACTGGAGACACTCTTAATCCTCCCCTCTGATTCTGTGAGTGGAGAGGATCCTGAATCTTTTAAATTGCTGCAAAAACTGTGCCTGGATCAGCCCTAGAGTGTGCAAATATCCATGAAACTAACATTCTTCTTTTTATATGTGGTTAGTTAAATAGTGAACAATGCTGACATTTGAATGGTGGTCATTAGGCTTCAAAATGATTACCTTCCTTAAAATGAACAGAGCGGTTACCATCCCTACGAGCTATGGTTCCAGGATGTCTGCAGACTTGGGCAGTATCATTGCATCTGTTTTCATCTGGTTTACATTTGGAAGGTTAGCTTTGCAACCAGAAGGGCTAAAGACTTCAATGTTTTAAACGAAAGATTCGATTCTGGAGTGTGAGATGCAGCTAATAAGGAAAAGTACTAGCTTGCTGAACAACCATGAGCCAGTCCACTTCAAACCTGGTGTCCCCCTCTGCAACTCTGTGGGGATCTCTAATGCTGATCCAGGGAAATTAATTGGTTTAGTGGACAGACCCACCATGAGTTAAGGGTTTGGAGAGAGGAAACCTAGCCCCCCAAATGAATAATTTAGAGAAAGTTTTGAGAATTCTATCTAGGGTACTTGAGTAGCCCCATTACAATAGCGTCAAAGTACCTCACAGTCTTCAATGGTTTTATTCTCACAACACCCCTCTGAAGTAAGGAAGCACGACTATCCCCATTTTGCAGACAGGGATCTGAGACAGAGAGACTAGAGCCCAGATTTTTAAAGGTATTAAGATATTCTGGTGCTCAGTGTTTATAAAGCCTAACTGTTTTAGGCAAATTTCATTTTCAAACCTTTAGGCACTTAAAAGTCTAAATCCTTTCTGAAAATGAGATTTAGGCTCTTAACTTAGCTAGGCTTTGCAATGCTGAGTGCCAGAACATCTAAATACCTTTAAAAATCTGGGCAGAATGACTTGCCCAATGTCACACAGGAAAATCTGGTGGGAGAGCAAGGAATTGAACTCAGATATCCTGAGTCCCATTCCAGTGCTTTAATCACAAACCTTTCTTTTTATACACTTTTATACCATAAAGGGGCTAATTAATAAGTCTGCACCAAGAGCACAAACCCCACAAGCCTTTCCCTATGAGGTCTTCGCCTCCGACTCTTCACAATTTTTGCAGTTGAGCATTATGCAGGGCCTATTAATGCAGGCCTTGATCACACAAGCTCTTATGCCCATGACTAAATTTAAGCATTTGTGTAAGCATTGGACCATCATCAATGTATTTTTCAGAAACCAAGTATAAATATTTAGAGCAAACACTTTTCTTTCTTGGTTATAGGAAATCTTGAAAACAAATGAATAGATTCATCAGTCCCTCAACCACATTTTCTCTGTGAGCACATGTAACCCAGGTCCTTGGGATTGTTGTAGGAGCAGCAGTGATCTGTATGCTCTGTATAACCTGTATGTTCAAAAGGTCTGTTCCACCTTTCCCTCCCCCCCCTTTTGTCTCCTCTCCCTCTTTGAATACCTGTGAAGTGGCTTTCTCCCTCCCCCTCTTTCTCCCCCTCCCTCCTGGAATGCTTGTGGGATGAATGGGCTGCTTGAGCAGCTGGAAGATCAGAAGAGCTCCCAGGTAGACAAGGTGTCTGGCACTCTGATTAGGCAGCGATCACACCCCAATGCATGGACACTGCACGAGGTGGAGTGACTCGGCCAAGTCTAGTCACAGGCCATGATACTCTGATTAGGCAGCAATCACATGCCCAATGCATGGACACTGCATGGACACTGCCCGAGGTGGAGTGTGACCAACCAGACGGGGCCAAGCCATCTCTAGTCACAGGCCATGAAGAGCAGGTCCTTAAAAGGGGAAGGGGCCATGTGCTCAGGAGTGCACTCACAAGATTGTACCTCCCGTGAAGGCTCTTCGCCTGGCCCACCTGGCCAGAGAGAGTTTGCCGTGTTGCATTTCATCATGCCTCGGGAAGACATACCTTCATCATACCGTCCATCGCTGCGCTGTAGGACACTTACCTTGAAGGATCCTGACATCTCCAGTGCCTTGCCTGTCCTGGGAGCCTGAGTATGCGAGTGTGAGTGTGACCCCCCCCACACACTTCTTTTGAGCTTAGCTATCAGTATAATAAATGTGCTGCTTTCTGCCAAACTCTGGTGGGTCATTAGTCCTCCCTAAGCTTACTAGCTGGCCTAATTTCGGGTAACAGGGATGTCTCACATATTCTATGCAGTGGTTCTCAACCGGGGTCCGTTACCCCTGGAGTACACAGAGTTCTTCCAAGGGGCACATCAACTTATCTAGATTTTTGCCTAGTTTTACAACAAGCTACATAAAAAGAACTAGCAAAGTCAGTATAAACTAAAATTTCATACAATGACTTGTTTATATTGCGCTATATATTATACACTGAAATGTTAGTACAATATTTATATTCCCATGAGTTATTTTCTAATTATATGGTAAAAATGAGAAAGTAAACAATTTCTGAGTAATAGTGTGTTGTGACACTTTTGATTTTTATGTCTGATTTTTGTAAGTAGTTTTTAAGTGAGGTGAAACTTGGCATATGTAAGACAAATCAGACTCCTGAAAGGAGTAGTTTGGAAAGTTGAGAGACACAGCTCTATAGCAGTGGTTTTCAAAATTTGGGTCACAACCCAGTACTGGGTCATGGAATGCAAGGCACTAGGTCGCCTCGCTCAGCACCCAGGGACCCCGGTGTCCGGCAAGTAAAAACTAGTAGTCCCTACCTGTTCTGACACCATGCTGCACCCTGGAAACGGCCAACAGCAGGTCCGGCTTGTAGGCAGGGGGGCCATGGGGCTCTGCACGCTGCCACCACACCGAGCACTGACTCCGCACGGTAACCGGCCAATGGGAACTGTGGGGGTGGTGCCTGTGGGCTTGCATGCCACTGCCTAGGAGCCAGACCTGCTGGACACTTCCAGGGCGCAGCGCGGTCCGCGGAGCAGGGGCGGCTCCAGGCACCAGCGCAGCAAGCGCGTGCCTGGGGAGGCAAGTCGCGGGGGGCGGCCTGCCAGTCGCTGTGAGGGCGGCAGGCAGGCGGCTTTCAGCAGCATGCCTGCGGGAGGTCTGCCAGTCCCGTGGCTTTGGCGGCAATTCGGTGGCGGAGACGCTGATGGCGCAACACCAGTGGACCTCCTGCAGGCATGCCGCCGAATCCGCGTGACCAGCAGACTGCCCGCAGGTGTGCTGCCGAAAGCCGCCTGCCTGCCGTGCTTGGGGTGGCAAAAAACATAGAGCCGCCCCTGCCATGGAGCCAGGACAGGCGGGAAGCCTGCCTCTGCACCCTGGCTGCACTGCTGACCAGGAGCCATTGGAGGTAAACCCACACCCCAATCCCCTGCTCCAGCCCTGAGCTCCCCCCCATCCCTGGCCCCACCCCAGAGCCTGCACCCCCTGCCCAGAGCCCTGACCTCCTCCCGCACCCCAACCCCCTGCCCCAGCCCTGAGCCCCCCCATACCCAGAGCCCCCTCCTGAACCCCAAACCCCTCATCCCCAGCTCCATTGGGTCACGGACATCAACAATTTTCTTCAATTGGGTCACCAGAAAAAAGTTTGAAAACCACTGGTCTATAGGAAGTGCATGTAGCCTTTTCTTAGGGGGCAAGTCCACCCCCCTACTAACCAGAACTCAAGAGTCCTAGCTCCCAGCGCTGGGTTTGAGCAGCTAGGCCACTGTGCCTTCTACTAGCAATAGATAACTAACAATATAACTATCATTAATAATTAAAACACCCATAAGGAATGGTAAATAATTAAATAAATAATAACACCCAGCTCTTAGATATACTAATCCCCTAATGGGCAAAACAGTAATAAAGTAAAACCCCATCACAGTGATGGGCCCATGCAATTATTAAACAGGAAGCCAATGGAATGACAAAAACGAGGAGTCCGGTGGCACCTTAAAGACTAACCAATTTATTTGGGCACAAGCTTTCGTGGGTGAAAGCATATGCCCAAATAAATCTGTTAGTTGTAAGGTGCCACCGGACTCCTCGTTGTTGTTGTGGATACAGACTAACGGCTACCGCTCTTATAAATGGAATAACAGTTATTCAGCAGTCCGGATCGGGGGCCTTCTGGTTGCAGATGAGACACCCTGCCGGGTGCGATCCGCACAGTAGGGGCTCCACGTGTCCCCAGCCTGAGCACCAGAAGGCGTGGACTACGTTTCCCATAGTGCCCCGGGTGGAGGACACTTCCGGGTTAGCAGCAGCAGGGGGCGGGGCCTGTGTGTTTACTTCCGGTCTCCCTGGGAGTGTGTCTGAGGCTAAGGGACCCGGCGCAGCCTGGCAGCAGGAGCGTGAGCCTGGCCAAGCCGCCCGCAGGGGGGAGAGAGAGAGGAGGGGCCAGGTGGGGGCGGGAGCCAGCCCCGCCGCCGGGGGTGGGGGACGGGACCGGGCAGCCCCATGCGCAGCCCCTGAGGCCGGAGCGGGTGGTGAGCTCGGGCAGGACGCAGGAGCCCGCCCGCCTCCCGCCCCGGCTCCTCCCCGGCCCCGCGCCCAGCGGGCGGCGCAGCAGCGGAGCAGGCGGCGGAGCAGGAGGCACCCGGGAGAGCCATGGACTGGCTTATGGGGTGAGTGGCGCTGCCGGGACCTGGGGGTCGCGGGGGTGCAGCTGGGGATGGGGGTACAGCTTGGGGTGAGGTTGGGGGCATGGCTGTGCGGGGTGCAGCTGGAGGGTGCTGGCCTGAGGTTGGGGGTGAAGTGCAGGTGGTCCAAGGTGGGGAATCCTCTTGCTTTGCCCAGTGGAGACAGGCTCTTGTGTCAGCACCACAGTGATGGGTCCCTTGCAAATTTCTCCTCTACTAGACTGGCTCGGGAGGGGCAGGGGCTAGGGGCCATGTGTGTGTGGAGAGGCATGGGGATTTCTTGCCTGTCTGTGAATGCAGGTGATACTAAGAGTGGTAAGGAATTTTCCCTCTTATCTGGGGTCAGGAGGTGCCTCTAAGCAGCTGGTGGCCACTGGCTGGTCCCTGAGTGGCAAGGAATACACTGACATGGGGTAGCTTTGGGTGACATGGGAACCTCATGGCCTAGTTTGAAGTACATAGGGATACCGGGGGACATGGAGAATACAGGAATTAGTGAAAAACATCAGAGTGAAAGCCTCTTAACTTTTCCCTGAGCTATGTGGTGCCGTCTGATAATGGCCATAAAATGTAATGTATTATAGAAACTGTTGGTTACACCTCAAAGGTGGCAGTTGGTGAATAGAGGGATGTATTAGGGTGGTAAGGGACTCTGTCGTGTTGAGAAGCATGGGACTCCTGCTAAGGGACAAGAGAAATACATGACTAATCAATTGTTCAGGGCTGAGAAGACAGTACGTATGGTCTCCAGCAGTGACATTGAGAGGAGAAATACTGTATTAGAATGTGCTTATAGGGCTACACAGTATCAAGCTTGTAAAATGTTTGGGGTTATTTTTGGGTACCTTGTCTATTGCTTGCTATGTGGAGGTTTACTGGTTTACAGGGTAGGAGAGATGCAGAAAAGAACTTTCCCTGTTCTGCAAATTAATCTGTATAAGAGCAACTAATTTCTTTCCTTTTTTGGATATAAAAAAGGCAGGCATTGCATGTCTCAACACATTTCTATCAGTGTAGTGAGACTGCTATTTCTGCAGCAGAACTTTAGCTCTGACCTAGGAGTTTGCCAAGCTCTGATCTGAATGGCTTGCTGGGGAGTGGAGGAAGACACCTCAGCATAGATTAAAACCAAATCAGTGCCGTGCCAGGGGACTTGGATAGCATGGGATTAATAGTGCTAATTACACAGAGACAGAAGGTAGAAAGCGATTTGCTGCTGGTTTTATGTTTAAAAATCTTAGTCAGAGAGACACATGTACAGTAGAATGGAGTGACCTGATGTATTATCAGTGTCCCAGAGAAAGAGATTTGATAGCTTATTACAAGAATTTTGCTGATGACCTGTACTCGGGTGAACTGAATAATTGTGTTGCAGAATCAGGTGGGCGGTAAGTTTATGATTCAGTGACACTTGGTCTTAAGTTAGTTGGCTTTGTACAGTAGTTTGATCCTTAGTGTGATGTTTTATCATCTGTGTTGCATCCTCCAGAGTATGACAGCCCAGGCCGTGGTCCCATTTTCTAGTGCTATCTGTGTTGCTAGGTCAGGTAGTATGCTTTTTACATGGAAAAACTACCCAGTTCCACTTCTTCTTTTTCTTAAACTGAAGTAACTGGATAATTGGTAAACTGACAGCATTTGTCTGCCTTGCTCTTTTATTAAGAAGACGGATTTCTTTGGACTGGATATGTCCAACTCTAGATCCAGTTGTCAAGACTCCTATAACTAGTATTAACTGTAATGTTGACTATAAGCTAATGGGCATGAACTCCTGTGCATTTTCTGGGTAGATTGTTAGTATGACTTTCCTACAACAAATTAATTAATAGAAGTATAGTGTTTGAGACATGCAAGGCCTTTTTGTGTGATATGCATTGGAAAGCTGGCATCTTGCAGGTTAGAAGGAAATACTGATGTTAGTTACTAATAATGAAGATGTTGGTGTAATTGGGTTTCTTTTGATTGTGTTTTTAGCAACTACTAAGGCAACTAAAGTGTACCATATTTACTTTATATAAACAGATCTAAACTGTCCACAACAATACTCAAGTTTCTTTAAGTGAAAGGAAGCTTCATTTTGAAAAAAAAAAAAAGCTTATCCCAGTACTTAAACAGAAGACTTAGATGGCTTAAGATGGTTCTTTTTCACCCATTTTGTACAAACTATATCATAAACTAGCCAAGAACCAAACTTTGTGATGTTACTAGACTTTCATTGTGTTAGAATGTAAATTTTCTCATCATTCATATTTTTATGGTGGTTGGAAGTTTGCTATGAATTACTGCTGCCACTGTACATGTAATCTTTCCAGGGTGGGTGAACTCATGTTGGAGTGGAGAACGTCTCTTTGCCTACATTAATTTTCATTGATCCTGGCTTGTCTGTGAATTACACGTTTGTTCTTTGCTGTTACCTGATACTTTTGTTAATGTCCAAACCTTGTGTACATTGCAGTCTTTTGCATTGTCACAGGGTGTGTCTTCACAGCACAGTAAGATCAAGTTATAACTTAAATATTACCCCTATCTTGACTCCTTTCCCCACACACAGATTTATAGTTCGAGAAAACTGCTTTAAGCTCAAGGTAGCTAGCCAGTGGGGGGACTGAAGCTGAGTGCTGCCAAAGCTTGAGCTAGGAACGCAGTGGGGATGCAATAACTTGAGTTACAACATGTCATCAGAAGATAGTCCAGTCATTCTATGCTGCTAATCAAATCACGGTGTGTAACTCATGTTGTTTGGAAATGTGGTTACTCTCACTCGAGCTATGTTAGCTTCAATTCCCCTAATCTGAGTGTGCTAATTTGAGCTAACTGGACTCTGGAGACACATTCTTTGTTTCAAAGTTTGTAGAAGTTTTGTTTGTGTGGACTTTGTGAATAATAAGGGGAAGGAAAACAGTGGGTGTGTGGTTGAGGGGGAGAGAGGGGAAGACAACAACCTCTTAAGGCTTGTCTACACAAACTGCTACAGCACTTTAGTGAAGACACTACCTATGCCAACAGGAGGGGTTCTTCCATCAGTGTAGGTACTCCACCTTCCTCAGAGGTGGTAACTAGGATGAGGGGGAAAATGACCTACTGCTGTCTATGCCAGGTGTTAGGTTGGTTTAACTGCATTGCTCAGGAGTGTGGATTTTTCACACCTCTGAGCCAAGGTAGTTCTACTGACCTAGGGCTGGTCCACACTAACCCCCCACTTTGAACTAAGATACGCAACTTCAGCTACATTATTCACGTAGCTGAAGTCGAACTATCTTAGTTCAAACTTACTGCGGGTTCACACGCGGCAGGCAGGCTCCCCCGTCGACTCCTGCTCCGCGAGAGGAGTATGCGGAGTACCGGCGTCGATGGCGAGCACTTCCAGGATCGATCCGGGATCGATTTATCGCATCTAGACAAGACGCGATAAATCGATCCCAGAAGATCGATTGCTTACCGCCGGACCCGGAGGTAAGTATAGACGGTACCTCTAATTTCCTAGTGTAGACCAGGCCTCAATCTGTCGAAGTGGGTGCTTCCATCAGCAGCACTATGTGTGTCTAAGTGAAAACATTCTTCTGTTTACTGAAAAAGAAGCTTATAGTATTCAGTTTATTACAGCAGAGCTTTGAATAAATGTCAGTCTGCCTTATCTTCAACTAAAACTGCAATTCTTTCCAATCTCTTGTAAGTGAAGGGAGGCGCTGCCGAAAAACCCGCACAAAGAGGGAAGAACAAAATGTTGCCCTTTGGAACACCACAGTTTTTTGAATGAATTTCCTCTCTCACTTCTGCATATTAAGCTTCATCAGTCTGTTTTCTAATGTTGCTGTGTATCAATGAGACTAATATGGAAAGAGTACAATTCCTTCTCAATAAACTCTTAATACTGTGTTAAATGTGTTAGTACTCCCAAGAACATTTGTTTCCTCATGTTGTTAATCATATTTTTTCTTGAATGCTCTGGACTGGAAAGTGCTCTACATGTTAAACTTTGTATCATTCTAGAAACTGGCTTTCAAAGGCAAATGAAAATTCGTTGTTTAAAATAGAAACTAGGCAGCAACAGCGGCTAACCATGTTCTAGCTTCCCACTATTCCAGCTCATCTCACATTTATTGCACTTAGGCCTCTTTATTCCTTAAAGGTCCTGTACAGTTGAGTGTTGTGTTGGGAAGTGGGGGAAGGGGAAGTTCTAATCATACCACAGAGGGCAGCAGCCTAAGTGTCTCAGATTGCCACAGAGCACTTAATACAGAAATAGAAACTGGAGCCTATAAACAATGATGAATTTGTCAAAGATTAGGCAAATAACAGTAAGCTTGGCTGGCCACACACCAGAGCTTCACTGTGATCAGTTTGGTCAATTGTTGTTCTCTCAAATGCCTTAAAACTGTTGAAGTTCTAGGAGGAGAAGCTGCATAACTGAGCTGTTGGCATACATACAATCACATGTCCGTTTAAGACCCAAATAAATGTCTTATCTTTCTCCTGAACATTGCCATAACAATGTTACTGATTGAAGGGTGTGTTCTTTGGTATATATGTGCAACTCCTATTAGTTACAATGGGAGTTGTGTCTGGAAAGAATAGAACAATAAGTTGTGCAATATCTTGGATCTTTATAAATAGAAGAGAGAAAGCTAAAAATATTCCCATTGTACATAGAAAATATGTACCATGGCTTTGATTGGAGACCACAGATGCTTGGATTGTGGTGTTCATTGACATCTGACAGGAATCTAGGCTATACACTTAGTATTTCATTTTGAAATAGGATTGATTTGCTGTTAAAGATTTTGGCTCTATTTGTAACACTAAATTTAAAGTAGCAACAAAGACAGATATTGTTCATTCAGTTATGAAACCTTTTTAATTTGAACTTAAAATTCTTAATTGTTTTGAAAATGCAGTTGTAAATCTCACAAGCCTTGATTACTCTTTAAATACTGAGTTCTGATAAATAAATTGTAATATCTATGCCCACCGAAGAATGACTTTGA